TCAATTACAGCACTAAATTGTTGATCAGGGCCCAAACTGAAGATCATTAAATCATCATGGCTTATTATTCTCAAAATACTTTTTTGGCATTTATATTATGTTTGATTATTTTTTAAAAAAATTTTAATGTTTTATTTATTTCAGAGAGAGAGAGAGAGATGCAGTGTGAGCAGGGGAGGGTCAGAGAGAGAGGGGGACACAGAATCTGAAGCAGGCTCCAGGCTCTGAGCTAGCTGTCAGCACAGAGCCTGATGTGGGACTTGAACCCACGAACTGTGAGATCATGACCTGAGCCAAAGTTGGACGCTTAACTGACTGAGCCACCCAGGCGCCCCTATTATGTTTGATTATTGATAGCTAGAAGCTTAGTTTCATAAGATGAGGGCCACCCTCCTATAATAATACGGTGTTTTAAACTTTGCTGTGATTTCTGGGGAAAGTTTACCACATAATGAATCGATCCTTTTCTGTGTTTCTATTTTCTCTTTCTTGGCATTCTCATATAGCTAACATATATGTCTATGTTATGTGGATAGGTATACATATAATTAAAGCACCATAAGAAGGAAATAGGCTACCTGAGATGTTACATGTTAGAAGCATGATACAAACCAAATATTAGAACCAAATGAAATGTAAGTGATAGTTTGATGTAGACCTTATGGTGACATGAGGATTTGTGAAGTTATCGTAGTTTTTTCCTCAAGAATTTTAATCTCAAACTCATTATGTGTGAAATACTAGCTGGAATCCAGGGTAATGAAGTAGAATGTAAAACACTTAAGATGTGTCCTGTTCCTATTGTGAAGAAGCTCATAGTCTGGTAAATAGAGGAAAACCTGATTGCAAAAAAATTAACAGCAACGTAACATTTTATAATGCAGTTTGTGATTCATTTCAAATTCCTTACAACTGCTGTAGGAATTCACAAATAGGAACAAAGTCATCTGGGTTGATCGATGGCTGATCTGTGGTTTTTAAAGGAATTTGCAGTAGGTGAGCACAAGTAAGAACACATCATTTTACTGTATTCCTATGGGCAGAATTTCTAGATGTCTAGAAGTATTTAATTGCCAGGTTGCCTAGTTCAATTGTTTTTTTCCATGGTTACAGCAGAAACATACAAGGGCATGATTTTTTTTTCCCTTTTGAAATACAATCTGTTTTAACTACGGAAACATCTGTCATTATAAAGAAGCGTGTAAGGTGATATAATCTGCTTTCTCTGTATGACATACAAGGTTCCTTTTTGGTCTGATTTCTGCTTACCTCACCAGCCTAATCTCTCATTGCTTCTCTCAGGTACTCTTAGCCAGCTCCTCCCAAGTTTCCTGTTCTCTTTTGCCTCCTGGGCTTTGGGTATGTTGTGTCTTCTTGGATAACTGCCTCTTCACTTGATTGTCTTCTCATCTCTTCAGCCTCAGATTATACACACACACACACACACACACACACACATACACGCACGCACATAGTATACATAATGTACATAAACAATATACATAATAATGTATGGTAAATAAATAAATATATATATCCTTTTTTTTTAGGAAGATTTTCACCTTGCAAAAACTGAATTAGATGCCCCTCCTGAATTTTCCTATAGCATTCTGACTTTACCTAATCCCCACCATAACTTCCAATTTATTTACCACTAGGTAGTAAGCAAACTTCTTGAGCCCAGAAATCTTAACTGTATCCCCTTCCCACCCCCCACCCCCCCACAGCTGTATCCTCAATGCCCTAATGCATTTTCAATAAATATTTATTAAGTAGAAAAATCTCCTTAGGGTTAGGCCAATCACCTTTTAGGTGTTTCTTAAATATCATCGAAGAGGGAGATATGTTTATTTCATTAAGATAGTTTGTATTGATGGTTCTGAACTGTTTTAACTGAAGATAAAATAACCATCTATATGAACATCTTGGAATACAATGAAATAGTTTCTGTACAGTCACCTTCCAGAGCATATTCATCTTAGGGTTTTAGATTTTCCTTCATGTTCTTTTATTGAGTGTGCCTCTTAATACTGCTATACCAGCTATTTTTGGTTTATGTGTGAGGGTATGTATTTGTATGTTACATGCTTTTCTATATCTGTATTTTTATTGTGTTTTTGTTTTTAGGTCTGTCTCTTATAAGCCATATTTATCCAGATTTCATTTTACTTTTACTCATTTTGGTAATTTCTGCTTTTAGTAGGTTGCTTTAATCCATTTATGTTTATTACAATTACTGATATATTTGGACTTATTTCTACAATTTTTGTGGTTTTTGTTTTTATTTTTTTTCTTTTCATGTGTCTCCCTTCAATTGGATGAAGTTTTCATTGAACTTTTCCTCTGCTTTTTTTGAATGCTGTGGATTATATTTCTGTATATTTTTTTGGTGTACACTATTAAGTATTTTGGGTATATATTTAGTTAAATTTTGCCAATAAAGTCTAGAGTTATCTAGCTTTTTTTTTTTCTGCCTATTTATGTCAAAGTTCATAGCATGCCTTAATTATCAACTAAACATTCCCTTGTATCCAGCTTACTGTTTTTAAGAGTTTGAGTTTTACATTTTTAAACCCTCAGAAATTAGCTTTTAAATTATTAATGGTTACTGTTCTATCAATCTCTATAGTAACTTGCTTCATGTAGCCCATGGGTCCCCTCTGTGTCCATTTTTCTTCTTGTTGAACTGGATTTTCTAATAGCTCATCAATAGGTGGTACATTTTCTTAGCCTTTATATGTGTAAATAATTCTTTTCCTTTATTCTTGAATGATGGCTTGGCTGCATATAAAATTTTATGTTATTTTTTTCTCAGCTTTTTGAAGATATTACTCTATTGTCTTCTGACCTTTATTACAGCTTCTGAGAAGTGGGCTCTCTGTCATTCCTCTGAAGTAATCCGTTTTGTTGTTTCTCTCATAGCTTTTAAGATTGTTTTCTGGGAGCCTGGGTGGCTCTGTTGGTTGAGCGTCTGACTCTTGATTTAGGTGCAGGTCATGATCTCATGATTCATGAGATTGAGCCCTACGTGGGGCTCTACGCTGGCAGCATGGAGCCTACTTGGGATTCTCTCTCCCTCTCTCTCTCTGCCCCTCCTACCCTTCATCTGTCTTTCTCTCTCTCTCAGAATAAATAAACTTAAAAAAAAAAAAAGATTGTTTTTATTGTGTAGAATTTCAGTAGTGAAATTCTAATGTGGATTCATGTTTATACAGTCTAATGCTCTTTTTCTGTTAAATTTTTTTTTTAGTCAGACATAAATTATATAAAGTATAAGCTCAGTTAATTTTTACATACATGTATACCAGGTAACCATTACTAGTCAAGATTCATAGTATTTTCAGCAAGCTAAAGGCTCTTAGTACCCCTTCCTACTCCATACATCATAGGCTAAAATTACTCTACAGTCATTCAGAGCTCTTTCATGTTGAGGATACATATTTCCTTTCCGTTGTAGGAAGTTCTCAGCAATTATCTTTTCATATATTACTTCTGCACTCTTCCCTTGGAAAATCCATTAGACAAACATTGCAGCCTCAATCTGTGTCTCTTTAAGTGCTCTCTTCTATTTTTAATCTTTTTTCCTCCCTATATTAAGTTCCAGGTAGTTCCTTAATGCAGCCTTTAACTCACGAATTCATTTCACTATGTCCAGTCTAGAATACATCCCATTGATTGTTTCTTTTTATTTTAGCGACTGTATTTTTCATTTCCAAGATTTCTAATTAGTTCTTTCCTTCTTACGTGATATTACTTTGTTTCTGTACATTGTTTTTTATCTCTTGTTCTTGTGATGGGTCTTTTACCTTCATTTGTCTTTCTGAACATCTTCAAAATACTTCTTTAAAAATCTTTGGCAGGCTGCCCTAAATGGATTGCGTCTGAAATATTTTTTTTGGTTATTAATTTTGTGGTTTTCTTTCTTAGCATTAAATTTCTTCAAATGTTTTGGAATTTCATGTTTTAATTTACTTTTCAGTGGAAGTCTTTTTGTTCGTGTTGCAATGTCTTCCCACCCTTCCCTTTACCCACTCCTAGTCTAGGGATTTTGCTGTTGATATTGGAGATATCCGTAAGATGCAGTAATGGAGACAGAGGGTGGCTTGGCTCAGATCCTGGTACTCGGGCAGTGTTTTTGTACCCCACCTTCCGAGACCTGCAGTTGTGATTAAAGCCATAGTCCTAGTCAACATGTCTTCATTGCTCACTTAATCAGCCTCCTAAAATGAGTAAAGGCACTGATCCAGCCCTGGCTTTAAGGGGAGATTCTGATTTGCATCCCTGTCATCAGTAAATCAGTTTTAGTTCTCTTTGCTCCAAAGGAAACCACTGCATTCTCCCTGCTAACCACCCCCTCCACACAATACACACACCTGCTTCTAGATCCAGAAACAGCAAGGCAGGTCCTGCTCAACATTTTTGAGTTTCCATACTTTCTGTTGCACAGACATGTTTCTTATTTGACCTCAGTTGTGTCTATGACATTGTCTCACTTTGTTTAATATACTTCACTTATTTATGCTCTACAGTGCCAGCAGGGTTTCAGAACTCACCTACAATGTTAACCCAGAAGTGCTATTAATTGTAAAGCTTTTCTCTTCATGGAATGACAGTCAAAATATATTAAAAAGAAAGGAATGGGTCTGGAATTGATTTGTTTGGAGGAGAGTATGCATTCGTTGTTCTTGTCTCTAAAATGTAAATTTCATCTTTTAACGTCTGCTTAATAATCTTTACTAATTGTTTTTTATATAACCAATACAGTTTATGTCCATTAGAGAGCCTTTAGAAAATACAGCAAACCATACATTTATACACATATTCAGGCATACACACATACACATGGAGAACTACTTGTAATTCCATAGCCCAGAGCTGGCTACTGAATATTTTGGTATTTTTTATTCATGTTTTACCCACTTAGGCACACTCCAACCCACATACTAATATTCATATTTTAAAAAAAAAAAAAACAAAACAAACCCAGTCTTGTTTTGTAGGTGAAGCTGTGAGTGCTGGAGATGCCTTATGTGAAATAGAGACTGACAAAGCGGTGGTCACCTTAGATGCAAGTGATGATGGCATCTTGGCCAAAATAGTGGTAAGTTTTTATTTTGATTGTCTTCCATGGGATGAAGATCTCTTAAATGGGAAGTACCTTGACGTAAAGTCACCCTTTATTTTTACCACTGTATTTACGGTATTGTGTTATCTGTATCTACATAATACATTTTTAATTCAGATGTTTAAAATAGTTGAGGCTTAAGGTCTGATGATAGCCAGTGATGATCAGACAACATGGAAATATTTCAACCATGACAATGGTACTCAGTGTTTTGAGTTCCCTGGTGGAGAATGAGAAGCATTCTGGCCTGAGAAGAGAGAAGGCTCTTTGAGGTAGAATTTGAAGACAAAGAAAACAGTAGGTTTAAGCTCAGCACTAGCAATTGCCGAGTTGGTAGTCCGTAAAATCAGAGAGAAGGAAAGTTTTACTGTATCCCATGAAATCAAGAAATCCTTTCTTCCTCTATCCCAGGACTCCCAGGATTAGAGGTGTGTAAGGTGGCCATCTGTCCAGCCCCCGTTCCCTAGACCAGAAGATCTTAAGTTGTCTGGTGTAGATTCTTGTCTATAGGTTTCATAGCAACACTCAGTGGCCTGGCCCAACTCTTACTCATCCTTACAGTTTGGACACTTTTGTAATCATTTAAAAATATATTTATATAAAAAGATATGTATGTAGTATATTTCACATACTTGAATATAGTTGAGTTGACAGTCTTGTCTATTGATAGTATATTTTCTGTTTCATAAGCTTTTTAATGAAATACATACTTGTGGGTTTAGCAAAACTGAAGTCATTTCCTTTGAGATCTCAATTTAAATAGATGCAGTAATTTTGAATATTTTTCTCTGGGCAGTCTTTGCTTTATAACTAATTTAAAATATGGAGGTATGCCTTGAATACTGTAATGGTATTACTAGAAGCAGAAGCTATTAGCATAGAATTTCAATCAAAATGTCTAGAAATAAAAGAAAGGTTAGTTAACAGAAGAAAATGTGGAATATCATGTAGTCATAAAAATTTTTTCTAGAAAAAAATATAATTTCTTTACATGTTATACATTAATAAAAATTTAAACATTTTTTTGAAAAAACACTTTTAAAATCATATATGTGCAGGGGCGCCTCAATGGCTCAGTCGGTTGAGCGTCTGGCTTTGGGTCAGGTCATGATCTTGTGGTTCGTTAGTTCGAGCTCACACATTGGGCTTTCTGCTCTCAGCACAGAGTCTGCTTCAGGTCTTCTGTCTGCCTCTCTCTCTTCCCCTCCCCTGCTCCTGCTCTCTCTCTCTCAAAAATAAATAAAACATTTAAAAAATTAAAAAATTGTATATGAGCAGTGATTATAATCTTATAGGGCTTAAAAAAATATTTTTTTAATGTTTATTTTTGAGAGAATGGGAGACAGGATGTGATGTGGGCTCTGGACTGACAGCAGAGAGCCCAACTGTGGGGCTCAAACCCACAAACCTCGAGATCATGATCTGTGCTAAGTCAGCCACTTAACCGACTGAGCCACCCAGGCGCCCCATTCTTACAGGACTTTAAAGAAAAATGTGTATAGAAAATATTAGAATAAAATGTTATTAAAATGTCAGTTGTTTTGGGGGGATGGAACTAAGATCCTCCTATCCCTTATTTTCTATTTTTCTGTATTGTCTCAATTTTCTATAATATATATTTTGTTTTTATAATGAGATATTAGCATTTATGTGAAAATTAAAATGCTTAAAGCCTATTTAGGATTACATGATGCATTCACTGATGGAGCATGTTTGTTTCTTCTAGAACATGTAATAATATGTTGTAACGGCTAAGATTGTAGGCTCTGGAGATACTCTGCTGCCTGATTCAGATAGCTAATACATTCTGCCAGTTATTGGTTATATAATAGTTGGCAAATTCTTTAGCCTTTGTGCCTTTTTCTTCATAATGAAATGGAGAAAATAATGTGTACATCATGGATCGTAGTAGAGATTGAGATAATACATGTACACTCATTACAAGACCTGTCACCCACCAAGCATCAATATATATTGCTATCTTCATTCTTAATACAATTATGCGCCCAGCTCTTGGTGACCATTAGCTTGCATGTCAGTCTGTTTACCTAATAATTTGTATTGTTTTTTTGCGACTGGATGGCTAGTATTCACTTGTGCCTCTGTAGTTTGGTACAGAGACTCTGCACATCTATTAGTAGTCCATTGTTGATGTGTTTTTAATTCTGAGACGCCAGCTCACCTCTGTTTGGGCATGGATGTAACCCCTTCCTTTGTACATTTTATCCAAAGACTGCACTTTGGAATGTTATTGTCTATTTAGCTGTAGATCTATATATAGTTTTCCATTCGTGTTTCCTACTAGAAAATCCTTTTTCCTGTTATCTAGTCATTTCTATGTTGCTTTTTACATTCTGATTATCAAACTTTCTTTACATGTATGTCATCTACAATATTAACAGCCCTGTTAAAACACGTTGTTGAAAATAATTCCTTGGAGGAAATATGGATGGAAAGCTGAAATTTCTGTACCTTCATAACAAGGAAAATATAACTATTCATACCAAAACTAGTTTCTAACTGGGGAACCTGGGTGGCTCAGTCGGTTAAGCGTCCAACTTGGGCTCAGGTCATGATCTAATGGTCTGTGGGTTTGAGCCTGTGGGTTCCAGCCCCGTGTGGGGCTCTGTGCTGACAGCGTAGAGCCTGGAGCCTACTTTGGATGTTGTGTCCCACCCCCTTTCTACCCCTCCCCCGCTTGTGCTCTGTCTCTCTCTCTCTCTCTCTCTCAAAATAATAAATAAACATTAAAAAAATAAAAAAAAATAGTTTTAACTAATTTATGCAGCATTCTGAAAAAGGAAAAGATTGCTTAAATTACCATATGTAATAATCCCAGCTGCATTTTATTGTGTATGCTTTTGGCAGACTGCATTCTTAGACCTAGCACTGCGTCCTTTGACTCTGAAAGTCTTCATTCCAGAATTGACAGCTTTTCCCACTTAGCTACCTTGTAATACATTTCACATTGCTAACAGTGTTATAGGTCAGTAGCACCTTTTCATCTGGCCCCTAATGCTCTGAAAAGGTTGGGGGTCGAGTGGGAGATACGATTGATAAGGGCTTTAGCAACACAATGCCTACTTCCTGGCCAACGAGAAGATTATATGTATATTTTAGGGCTTTATGGCTTTATTATTATTCCACATGCATTTTGGATAATAGGAATGGGAGTATATTCATGTCCTAACGTATATAGTTTTCTGGAGAAAAACAATCAAGGTAAAATTACTGGGGATTTTTAGTCTTTCCCCATACTCCACTCTCAGCCCTCCCACCCCCCTGCAAGTCACACCTTTGTCTTTCATTGTGGAATAATTGTCATATGAGCACCCATAATAAAATGATTTTAATAAGAATATATATGAGAGATCTTTACTTTCAGAATCAAGAAGTTGAATGATTGTTCTTATTAAAAGGCAAGTGTTGACAAAAAGATCTAGTTTTTAGCTTGCCCATGTTTTTGAAACAATTAGAAATTATTGTCTGTATTGCTCTTCACATGGAGATTTGTTTGCAGTCTTTGAGAGGTTTTTGTATTCTTCCCCTCCCCTTGCCCAGTTTCATTCTCTTTGTTCTCATTCGTAATTTTTTCATCTGATTTCCATTTTAGATATAAAATAATATTTATTACATTTTAATTAGAATGAGCAAAAAGCTTAGAAGCTCTTAATAATGTTAATAAATAATAATTGCTGTCAGTGTAGATACTTTTATGATTCATTTCCAGTTTAGTTCAGTTAATGAGAGAGTTGTTAAAAAGTCTCATTTAATCACTAGTAAATTGCTATGTGGAAAACCTTAAATCTTTACACAAATACCAGTTCGTAAGCTTCGTCTTAAAATTTTTTCGGCAAATTGGACAGCAAGTGTTTTAAATGATAATAGAATATTAGGATGACATATTTGGAGAATTTATTAAAGATTGTCTGGTTTGACTTCTAACATATTTAGGGTTATTATATGATTTGTTACAAACCAGGATACTTTTGAGGGTGAAAAGGATGGAGGTGTTAAGATTATTTAAACTTCTATAATTTTTTGAAATTTTAATTTATTGACTACCAAAACATTCACTGCTAGATTTTTATAATATTGGTAGATCATTATTGTTAAAATAATTTTTAATAATAGAATTCTTTCTGTAATCCATGGATATTAAGGCAAAATTTTAAAAAATACTTGCTATAGGTACACCTGGCTGGCTTAGTGTCATGGACACATGTCAAGGAGTATGCAACTCTTGATCTCCGGGTCATGAGTTGAAGCTCCGTGTTGGACAGAGCTTACTTGATCATACAAAAATTTAAAAAAACAACAAAGGCTCATTATTTTTGGTACTATTCATGTTCTTCAGTCAATCTTTTAGTTGCATTTCACTCTAATATTGTGTCACTGGCATTTTGTTTAAAGAAGGTAGTTTTTCAATATAGTTTTTATTGTTAGGTCCCTTTCCTCCTTTACGGAGAAAGTTGTTTAACCTTTCTGTGCTTCAGTTTCCTCATCTGTACGTGAATAATAGTAGCACTTACCTTGTAATGTTGTTAGTAGAATTAAATGAGTTGACACAGTGCTAGAACAGTGCCTGGCAGCTGAATTCCAGACTGTTCCTCAAAGACTGAATGAGTGTTTTTTCTCCCCGCTCTGCAGTTTTAGCTTGTCATTGATTTGTTTTCAGTGTCGGTGTTTCTTATGTGTCTTCCTTTTAGACCAAAGTTTATTGTGCCCATGACTTAAAGTATATATGTTAAGGAATACAAACAATTTAAAACTGTATAATGGTTAGCCCATGATAGAAAATTTTTACTAAGTTTTCAAACCAAGTCAGTCATGTGACTCAGCTCCTCTCCACTAACCACAGTGCATGCCCCTTCTGTGCCCAGCAGCTCTCACTGTCCCGTTTTACAGAAGAAAATATTTAAATAATTGCTTATTATTTTTTAACATCACAGTCAAAATACAGTTTTTTACCAGCACCTTTAATGGAGTAAACCCCCTCAAATAAATTCTCTCTTGGGAAATCCTGCTGTGGTTATTTTGTCTGTTGACTTCAGCATCTCATATTCATGGATACACTGATGAGCTTTGGTGGGTTGTATTGAGCACGTTGCCGGTGATTTTTCAGCCTATGGGCATGTCTCTTGTAAGGAAAGTAGCCCCATATCCATGGTCTGTCTGGGCATGGAGGTCAGCAGCCTGTGTGTGGTCCTAATGGAGAAATAGGTCTCCTCAGGCCTTCCCACCTACTGGCTCGCCTTCTCCTCCCCAGTCATGCCAGCCTCCTGATGGGCCTTTAGGCACAACTTTCCAACCCTTAACTGATGGGGCGCTCCTCTCCTGTCCACTCTTGATCCATGTTGAGTGTATTTTTTGTTTTAAAACAAAATTTTATTTGAAATAATATTAATTCATCCTTTTGACATAATAGTAAAACAACATGACTAGTCTGCAGAACTAAAACTTTTCAGTATGTGACAGACAGTTAAACAAATTGTTCTTGGGTTGTTTTGTATTTTTTTCACAGCTTGCAATTCATGAGATGTCCTTATCTTATGTACCCATTTCTTATATATACGTTTAGCTTCATCAAAGCATTATTTCTGTTCTTCTCCATCAGTAATTAGTAAACTTTGAAAACTTCCTCACTCCCAGAACTTAAGCCTTATTTATTTTTAGACTAGTGCTTATACTAATAAACATCTAAATTAATGTTCATCGGAAATGTCATACCCATTTTAGGAGCTAAGCTCTTGCTTATAATTACTCTATTAGTGAACATCCTACAGCCTCACATTCCATTATTCACTACATAACATCCGTAATGAACTCTATTTAATGTAATTGAAAGGGAATGATACAAATTTTAGAGGTATGACATTTTCTTCCAGTACTGACCTGAAAACCATTGTCATCTGAAGTTTCTCTAGGGACTTCTCTTACTAACTAAATAAAAATCAACTCTTCGTTTATAAATGAATGCTGCTGAAATGTTTAAAGTACGTTTAAATTTTTGTAAAAGACTTCAATCTTATTTATCCTTTTAATTGGCATTATCTATGAAAAATTGTTTGATTAGCTGAGATACCACTGTGTTTCTGTTGTACTTATAAAAATTCATGGGGTTTGATTTTATTTCTCAGGTTTTGTAAATAGATACATAGGGAAAAAATTAAATATTTGGAAAGACAGAAACCAACATTAGTTGGTGGTTGGTAGTTAACCAGTTCTGTTTATACAATGGAATATTCTTTTCTCCAGAGACTGTTCACTGAACATATTTCATGTTAATGTTAGTAAAGAGAACCAAGGGGAATTAATTTCTTGTGAGCTCCTGGAATTCCTAAGCCATTGTGGAGAAACTATCTGGGAAATCGGGGCACCTGGGTGGCTCAGTCAGTTAAGCATCCCGCTTTGGTTCAGATCATGATCTCACAGTTCGTGAGTTCGAGCCCCTTGTTGGGCTCTGTGCTGACAGTTCAGAGCCTGGAGCCTGCTTTGGATTCTGTATCTCCCTCTCTCTCTCTCTGCCCCTCCCCTGCTTATGCTCTATTCTCTCTTTCTCAAAAATAAACAAACATTAAAAAATTAGAGACAAAAAAAGAAACTATCTGAGAAAGACAAATAGTTAGTTGAAGCATGAAACCATAGTCTCCCGTTTGGATTTGTACTGAGCACCATCAAAAGGAAGATGGTATGATTTATATATTTAAAAGCTGTCAGAAGAAGATTCTAGATTTTTTTTCATGCTGTCACATTAATGACTGGGAGAGGGAGAACGGTGAAGGAAGGCATACATGGGGGAAGGCGGGAAAAGATGGTGGTGGGTGGAAGGAGGAGGCAGGCCGGCTTAGAAACAGATTTTAGCTCAAATTAAGATCTTTCTCATCAGTACAGAATTATGTAAACTAAACTTCAGGAGATCATGAGCCTTTCCATCTCTGCAATTATTTTCTTTTTAAAATATAGGTTGAAGAAGGATCTAAAAATATACGGCTAGGTTCACTAATTGGTTTGCTAGTTGAAGAAGGAGAAGATTGGAAACATGTTGAAATCCCCAAAGATGTAGGTCCTCCACCACCAGCTTCAAAACCATCGGTGCCTTCTCCCTCGCCAGAGCCACAGATTTCCACTCCTGCCAAAAAGGAACATGTACCGGGAAAACTGCCGTGAGTATGTTTATTTGGATGCTGATGTTTAAAAAAAAAAAAAGTTATGGCAACTTTTAGGGTATTTTAATTATTATCATATTTATAACATCTTTGTACCTTATGTAGGAAGTGGCTGATCTTCCCTTTTTTCTCTTAGGTAACTGAGGCCTACAAATGATTATTTTACTGTCTTTGTTCATTCAGCAAACAAATAGTTCTTCATACCTGCCATGTTCCAGGTCATAGGAAAGCCCTGCTCGCCTGATGGAGAACAAAGCAAAAAGTCTGTGTTGTCCATGTTGAACTTGAATTCATTTTTAGGATTCCAGGATGGAGTTTAATATATCAAGCTTCATATCATGTTTTCATCCATGGCATTCTAGTTGCCATGATGTGAATTCCAGTTTTAAATGTATAACTGATATAAAATTGAAACAACAGGAGTGCCTGGGGTGGCTCGGTCGGTTAAGCCTCCGACTTTGGCTCAGGTCATGATCTCATGGTTCGTGAGTTCTAGCCCCATGCCGGGCTCTGTGCTGACCGCTCAGGGCCTGGAGCCTGCTTCAGATTCTGTGTCTCCCTTGCTCTCTGTTCCTTCCCTGCTCATTCCCTCTCTGCCTCTCTCTCTGTCTCTCTGTCTCTGTCTCTCAAAAACTAAATAAACATTAAAAAAACTTTTTAAAAATAAAATGGAATCAGCATCTTAACGTGCATTTCTTTGCAACTATTCTGCATGTGAGTGTCTGACACAGATTAAAGCTCAATTTTGTCCCTGTATAACACACTTAGTAAACACCATTTCGTTTCATCTCTGCATAGCTTTAATTGATGAACTCAGAAAATTCTAACAAGTTCTTTTATTTACTTTAACATTCTCTATAATTATGCAAAATTACTTTATAAGAAAAAGTTCATCAAGAAGGGTCCTCTTAAGAACCACTTTCGAACTTAAATAAAAGTGCAGAGTTTTTCCTTTCTAAAATTGTTTTCCTTCAGCTTACCATTGTCAAAAAAATCCATAGTGCTTTTGAAGTGCTGAGTTGTAAATTCCCATCACCATTTACATGGCATTTCTGACCACATTGCTGTAACTTTGCTTCATTTACCGTGCAAATCAGAAGACAGCTCATGGCCGTGTTTACTGCCCTTCCCCTGTTGCAGAGACCACAGCCGGTAGGTTCTCTGTCTTTCTGTGAAGACCCATCACTAGAGACTTAATGAGCCTGAGGCCCCAGCGTGTAGGTTAAAAACCAGCAGACCTGTGAGCTGCACAGTGTTGGCGCACACCGTGATTTTCTTTTTTCCTTTTTTAAAATGTTTTATTTATTTATTTATTTATTTTTAATTTTTTTTTTTTTTTTTTTATTTCTAGGAGAGAGAGAGAGACAGCGTGAGCAGGGGAGGGTCAGAGAGAGAGGGAGTCACAGACTGAAACAGGCTTCAGGCTCTGAGCTGGCAGTCAGCACAGAGCCTGACACGGGGCTCGAACCCGAACCGCAAGATCATGACCTAAGTGAAAGTCGGACACTTAACCGACTAAGCCACCCAGGCACCCCTAAAATGTTTTATTTATTTCTGAGAGAGAGAGAGAGACAGCCTGAGCAGGGGAGGGTCAGAGAGAGAGGGAGACACAGAATCTGAAACAGGCTCCGGGCTCTGAGCTGGCTGTCAGCACAGAGCCCAATGCAGGGCTCGAACCCACGAACCATGAGATCATGACCTGAGCCGAAGTTGGACGCTTAACCAACTGAGCCACCCAGGAGCCCTCATGATTTTCCTAAATAAAATTTTCGACTTGGTTATAATTAATCTTACAAAAAATCTAAAATTTCAGTTTCTTCTGAAAAATCTAAAGATTTGATAGCACCAGCCCATATCCTAGTTTAGAGATGTTTCCCTGAAATGGAGAAAGTACTACATTTGTTCCTCTCCATTTTTTAGTTACACACTTTGGGAGCCAGCCCCTTGTATTCAATTTTCAGTGTTCAAATCTTTATCTAACTGTATAGTGATTTGTATTTGCTGCTTTGCCTAAAGGTCTTAATCGAAGAGTGGATACTCAGTAGTTGTGGGACCTTTTGGTATATCTCAGTTTCCGTGTCTAATAATCAACCTAAGTGTTTTGCCTCTTAACTCTTTGGAGTAAATATAAAATAAAAATGCTTTCATATAAATACTAATGACTTTTAAAAATATATGCAGCATACAATTCAACAACAACAAAACAAACAACCCAATTATAATAGGCAGAGTAAGGGTGCCTGGTGGCTCCGTTGGTTAAACGTCCGACTTCAGCTCAGGTCATGATCTCCTGGTTTGCAGGTTCTGGTCCTGTGTCGGGCTGTGTGCTGACAGCTCAGACCCTGGAGGCTGCTTCAGATTCTGTGTGTCCCTGTGTCTCTGCCCCTCCCCCGCTTGTGCTCTCTCTCAAAAATAAACATTAAAGAAAATTTTTTAAAAAACAGGCAAAATACTCAAATATTTCATCCAAAGAAAATGTATGAATAGCTAATAAACATGTGAGAAGATGCTCAGTGTCACTAATTATTAGGGAATTGCCAGTCAATGCCACAACGAGCTACCACTTCACATTCATTGGATTGGCATTGTTAAAATAATAATGATAATACTAAGTGTTGATGGTATATAGAGAAATTAGAACCAATGTGCACTGTTGGTAGGAATGTAAAATTGTGCAATCACTGGAAAACAGCATGGCAGTTCCTAAAAAATTAAAAATAGAATTATCATATGATCCAGCAATTACTTTTCTGGGTATATACTCAAAAAAATTGAAAGCAGGAACTCAAAGAGATATTTGCATAGCCATGTATAGTACAGCAGCGTTATTCACAGTAACTAAAAGGTGGAACCACTCATGTGTCCAAAGTGTGCTCTATACATTCACCTTTGGAAAGGAAGGAAATACTGACACATAGACCATGACATGGATGAACCTTGAAGGTATTATGCTAAGTAAAATAAGCCAACCACAAAAGGACAGGCACTATATGATTCTACTTCTATGAATTACCCAGAGTAGTCAGATTGGTAAAGACAGAGTAAAAGCTGGCTGTTGGGAGCTGGGGAAGTGGGGAGTTAGTGTTTAATGGAGACAGAGTTTCAGTTTAGAGAATGAAAGTTCTGGAGATGGATGGTGGTGATGATTGCACAGCAGTGTAATTGTACTTAATGCCATTTAATTGTACACCTAAAAATGTTTACAATTATAAATTTTATGTATATTTTACCACACACAGAAAAAATGAGGGAACGATATATCTAGTTCCATATTGATGTATTTGATTAGGAATCATTTGAAAAATTACTACTCGAAATAGAAGCTCTCTTCTTTTGAATATTTACTGTTTTTGTTTGTTTGTTTTTTAGAGAGTGAGAGCAGGGGAGATGGGCAGAGGAGAGAGAAAGAGAGAGAAACTTAAGCAGGCTACTCTCAGTGCAGAGTTCAACATGGGGCTCAATCTCATGACCCTGGGACTATGACCTGAGCTGAAATTAAGAGTTGGACACTCAACCAATTGAGCCACCCAGGCACCCTGAATATTTACCCTTATTAAAGGAATATTTTGAAATAGTAACTAATTAAATTTGTATGAAAATGTTTTGGTAGTAAAATAAACCAGATTAGTACAGATGAATTTGTTAGACTGTGACTATCTCTGGAATTCATTTAACTTCATTTTAAGTTTTTATTTTTCTAAGTTTCAGCAAAACTGTTGACGTTTAGGTATATTTGATTCAAATGTAAATGTTTATTGGTTTCCTTAATCTCTTCATGTTTTGTTCTTAGGTTCCGTTTAAGTCCAGCTGCCCGTAATATTCTGGAAAAACACTCCCTGGATGCTAGCCAGGGCACAGCCACTGGCCCTCGGGGGATATTCACTAAAGAGTATGTTTGTGCTTTTTTTTTAATTAAAAAAAATTCTTTTAAGTTTATTTACTTATTTAGAGACAGAGAGAGAGGGTGCAAGCAGGGGAGGAACAGAAATAGAGTCCTACGCAGGCTCTGCATTGTCAGTGCAAGCCCAAGAACTCCCGAAACTGTGAGATCATGACCTTAGCTGAAATCAAGAGTCAGACGCTTAACCAACTGAGCCACCCAGGCGCCCCTATTTGTGCTTTTTGTAACAACCAGTTCCATTATTTATCATGATCATCCTCTTCTGAAAGTAGTTAAAGAAGAGCTTATTCACTGTTAAGATTTAAAAGGATGTATACTGTTCTTTTGTATTTTTAATTGCTTTTATCAGTGTAGACTCGTATTCTGTGCAAGGGTTGTTTCTGAATAATTACAGCATGAGTTAAGAACAGTTTTAATTTGGTAACAGAGCCAGATACTTAGAAATGGTGATAAGTGAAGAAAATTGGAGTGCAGAGTGGTAAACCTTTATACTGTTTTACGTTTACTTGAAATAGGTTCGCAATCACAGTTAAAATTTTAAAACCTAGAAATATACTTTTAAAAATACTTTCATTCTTATCTGTTTGGAATTTAGTCAATTGTATGATCAAAGAGATTTCCGTTTATAATTGGCCTTCTTCTTGGATTTTCTCTTCTGTTGCACTGATCTCACTGTCCATGAGTTAGGACCTCCCTTGCTTAGTACCACACTCTTAATTATAAATATTCTCAAGTAAGGTTTAAAATTTAATAGAATTATCCTTGCTCTTCTTTTTCAGTAGACCATGTTCTTGGTTTATTCTTACTTTATTATTCTTCCAAATGAATTTTAAACCATTCATATGCCCTATGGTGGATCTCCGCAGGGGATGATGGTGTTTTTATTGGGATTGTATCACATTGTACAGTTAACTTGAGGAAGAATTGAGATCTTGATGTTCCTGAGTCTTCCTGTTCAAGAACACAGATCTGTTTTTCCATTTGTTTCTTTCAGGAGTGTATGAGAATAGATAGCCCCTGCTCTATTCAAACTTGGTCTAGTGGGAAGACAAACGTTAATCCTTTAGGCATATGAACTAATATAAAATTGCTGTAGTGGTTATATGTTATATTTCTATGGCAGTAATATTAAAGTCTTCAAATTGAGTTAATGTCTTAAAACAATATGCCTATTCCCTGTTCAACTAATATTGATAAAAAATGATGAGTAATATTGGCTAATAGTTTTTAAGTTGAGATGGGGCAAAAGTTATGAAATTATTAAGTGGCAGTGCTGGACCAGGGAACTTTCTTTTTTTTTCCATTGGTTATTTTACTCTTCATTAAAACATTTGTTTATTTTTGGGTATTTTTTTTACAGGAAGCAATACCCCTTTAATTCTTAGTCTCACTTAATCTATCTTATAGCCTTACTGATTTGTTCATCAAATATGTGTACATGGTTCTCTTAAACACATGCTGTGAGGTTCTGCCATGCTGCGTGAGTAGGAGATCAGCTGTCTTTGACTCCAGACTGAAAAATAGTATCCTACGCTGTGAATTTTAGTTAAAGGACTTAAAAACTTAGCCATAAAAAATTAAAGTTAAGTGTCTCAATAGCCAGTTATGCCTAGTTTTTCTCCCACATTAATCCTTATTTGATATCTACCATTCATACCTTAAGTTTATTAGTCTACCAATCTATGTTTTCGTAAACTCTCCACAAAAATGGGATAAAGCAACTTTCTTTATAACCAGGGAGACTTACGTGTATTTCTGAGGGATAGGACAAAGGGTCTACATTTAATTCAAACTATCGATCAAGATGTAGTGAAACGTAAAATAGTCATAATAAGTCAAAAGGTAAAATAGCTGTACCTTAGAAAGATTAATTTTGCAAATTTGCATAAGATAAATTGGAGTAGAAGAATACTTGAGGGAAGGAGATAAATTAACAGGCTTATAAAGTAATTCAGGTAAAAGATGAAAAACGCTTGAACGTGGGTGGAAGAAGTAAAAGGGAGATTACTGATGCAGGCAGTGTGATAGGATGGAACCCAGACACCTTCGTAAAGCACTTCATGTGGACCATAGACCAGGATAGCAACCAGTCAAGGAATGAATTTGGGATTCTCATCTGTGTCATGAAATTTAGGCTCCGTAAATACAATACGGGCCTTGGGAAAGTATTTGTCTCGGTGGAGTGAGCCATGTGGTAGCTCCGAAGCTTAGTATCAGTGCGGACTAGCCATGCAGGCATCTGGATCAGTGGGATGAACGTGATTTGCAGGAAATACTTTGGAACTAGAGCTGGAGTAGTAGATCGTAGTAGTAGATAGTATCTACTATCTATCTTCAGGTAGATAGTAGAGCAGTAGTTGTAATTGTGATAACCAGGAGGTAAACTTCTAGAATGCTGAAATTCCTGTGTTGGAGGATATCTAGGGACTGGATAAAAAGTTAAGAAGGTGTGATCTAAGAAAAGTCTTTGAAGTTGGTTGTTAGGTGACATGTTAGAAGGCAGTTCAATGGTGTGATAGCAGAGGAATGAAATAGTGCTGTATTCATTCCTCCCTTCTCTTTCCATATGTGCTTACCACATTGATGATGAACAAATATCTTTTTTTTAAACCTGAGTTGAAGTTATAATAGTAATGTAACAGTTATTAAAAGAACAAAATGGTATTGTCTTGCTATATACCCAAAGGCAACACTATTAAAATAGAGTTATTTTTTAATATTTTTGCCATCTCCCTCCCCCGCCAGTTCTCCTTCCTGTCCATATTCTTTAACTTTGCACCATAAGAGACTTAACCTTTGGTCTTCAAAATTTGACACATTACAAAAGATTTCATGAGAAGAATAGATCCTTGAAGGCATGCAGTATTCAGGATTTTTGCTTTGTATACCACTAAAGATGCTTATGTTTTAAGTTTAACATTAAGGTGGACTTTGGGAAAAACTTTGACTTACTGTCATCTATGAAAATGTTATATTCTGATACTATTGAAAAACTGTAGACTTTGACATAAGCTTCCTGCAGAGTCCCTTAGCACTCATTCTTAGAATTTGGAGGGACGTCCTTCCTTTTTCTACTGTCAACTAAGAATGCAAGTAGAATACAAAAATCAGTACTAACTGCTGAGGAAAGTGCCTCTGATGCATTGTATTTACAAGGTAGATCCTAAGGGTTAGGGTTGCTATTTTAATGTGGCTCAAACATGTTGTTGAGAATATGTGTTGCTCAAAAGCATATAGGCTTTATTTTGCCTGAGTATGTAATATTTTAGGAAAACGAGTACTGGGGCCACCTTAGAGACAGAATATATTTGAGTTCTTTGCCTGTAACCTAATATCTTTGGTATGTCTGTGTCTTAAATCATACGTGTAGTTAATGTTTGTATTAACATCACAGCATCTGACCGGTATGACAGGAGGGTGTCTAGCATTTTTGTAGTAGTATTTGTTTTGTAAGCTAAGTCATTGTCCACCCAAATGAGTTACTCTCTAAGGGATCCTGATAGAGAAGATTCTACCCGGAGTGAACCACCAAGCTACCTTCTGTGGTTCTGCAGGAGTGTGTGGCATATTTGTTTTTCTCCTAATTTTTAGAGCTTTTAAAGCCTACCTAATTCTTCAGTCGAGTCTGATGAATTATTTCATGGCCAGAAATCATTAAAATCATTCTCTGCATTATAGAAACTAAATTGTTGGCTGCGATTAAACAATAGTTAACATTTATACTTTACGAGGTATGGAAGTGTGAAATCAGCAATAAAAGCTGACTGTGAAGCAGTGGCCAGAATTGATTTTCTGTTTACTTGTTTATGATTGATGGCTTCTCCTTGCTTTTAGTCTTTATTAAGAGCTGTTTTACCCCAGAATCTTAATTACTACAAGAATGAAACTAAACTGCCTTTTTCTTGATAAAATAGTAGTTCTGCTGATAGTGAAATTAAAGATGTGTCAGTTTAGGGGCATCTGGGTGTCTCAGTCGGTTGAGCTCCCAACTTCAGCTCAGGTCATGATCTCACGGCCTGTGGGTTCGAGCCTTGTGTCCAGCTCTGTGCTGACAACTCAGAGCCTGGAGCTTGCTTTGGGTTCTGTGTCTCCCTCTCTCTCTTCCCTACCCCGCTTGTGCTCTGTCTCTCTCTCAAAAATAAACATTAAAAATAAATAAATAAAGATGTGTCAGTTTAGTGTGACCAGTCTTAAATAGATGTATTCAGGCATTAATATTTTAGATTCTTTAGTCTCTTCACCTGTTATTTTTATCTTTTTCTTTTTAACTGATAAGTGAGAGTAAACTAGTGATCCCCATATAAAGAAATTAATGTGTTTTAGATAGGCCACTCTGATGCTAAACTTTAATTTGACTTGAAACCCAGATTAGTAATAGGTTTTGTGAGAGAGATGTATTTTATATAATGGAAAGGGACTAGTAATGTTCGACTGTGATTTGTAAGAACTTTTAAAAGCTAACTATCTTCTGACAAAGGTATTTTTCTGAATCAGCAGAAGGCCTTATTATATATCATTGCTCATATTTTTATTTATCTGGCTAGGGTTTTGGCTCATGGCATAAATCCCCAGAAATGATGCTGGCAGTCATTTCCTTCATATGTAAATATTATCATAATTAATTAGAAAATGGTTCTTTTGGTTCTAAATATAAGTAAATTAAAAATTAATGTCCAAATAGAAGGAATTTTGGTCTTTAAAGCCTTACAAGTACATAAGGCCATTGCCTCGGCTGCGGACCTCCTCCTCTCCGCATCCTGTCTGTTCCCGCCACCGTGTTGTGGCACAGGCCCTGAGAAGCAGCATGGCCTCCGGTCACACCCGTGCGACTTTCTGTGTGACGGGTTGGAGGCCCTGGTCAGGAGGTGTCCTACATTTAGCTTTAGATTACATAGATCACATTTTTCCATGCAGTCCCAGACTTGTTGTTCATCTAAGATGTACTAAATTCTGTTCTAATCTGTTCACGTGAGAAAAAATTCTTCTGA